AAATTCGGAATCGATTCCTTCAAACATACACCAAAGTAATTTTATACGCGGAAAGATCCCTACCAAATCGACCATTTCTCGCAATGTTAGGGATGTTTTGTATAGAATGACCCGTCTTATGCTTTCGGAGCTCAGAGGCGAAGAAAATATGTTCGCGATATCCTGGTACGAGAATTTGATATCCGATGTAAAACTACGTGTCGATAGAGAGACAAGGCTGGCAATAAACTCACTGAAAGCGGTAAGTTTCACCATTCGGCTGAAGAGACTGTTGGCCTTCATTATCCCAACATGTTTGATACTCTGGCAAATACCGTTTGTGAAGGGGTTTTCATCCTTTAGTGCATCTACAAGTTCGCTGTCAATTCCGATGTATAAGCTACTCCACGGTCGACTTTCTCCCCTAAATAGAGTGTCGTCCTTAAACACGTATCTCGCAATCCATCCCAGTTGGCGTAAAACCGGAAACGGCACTATGGACTTGTCCACACTGAACTTGAGGATCGTCGATTTCATTCCTTCTTCAACGTGAAGATATCGAAGTCGCGGATACACGATTGGCATGTTGTTATCGTCGAAGATCAGTCGTCTAATATGGTCCACGCGATAACGGGTTAACCCCAAATCAACCAAAGTCGACGCTGACCTTTGAAGGATGAAATGTAGAAAATCCATATTGCAGACGCAATTGTAGCTCAGTCGAGCAAGCCCTGCGCCGTTCTGAAGGTAAATGTCGTTAGAAACCAAGCATACAGGGCTTGCGTATATATCCACCCTCTTTGCCATTTCGAAAAGCGCCAAGAAAAGACTGTTTGGCGGTTGTTCCTTGGTTATTTTCAGCCGAGTGTCTCTTTTATAGTTGCCAAACGCGTGTTTAATGGTTGCACGCTCTAGGTTGGGCATCGACGAGCGGATCCGGTGTGCGACCCAATTGAACAGCTCGCTTTGGATTGCGACGCCCTCAATTGCTGGTTGTTCAATTTCGCCTTCGATAGTAATTGACAGCAAATTTGCACAAGGAAAGACAACAACTTTTGGCCAGACAACTGAAAAACGGCGATACATTTGCCCGGTTATCGGTTTGTTAATATCGTGCAGTCGGATACTGATTTCTCTAACGTAGCAGTAACTTTCAGGCCGTTGATCAGCGATTGGAGGCGAATGCGTGAATGTAAATGTGTTTGTGGCCATTGTTGTCGAAATATCCAACTCGACTTTGCAGCACAAGTACCCAAGGGAAAGTACTTTCCAAGAATAGCTGACCTTGCAAAGCTCTAGCCATTTTCTCCGGGACTTTTCGATGTAAATAGTATGCTTGTTGGTTAAATTATGGATTCTGTAGACGTAGTTTAGAGCAATGCTTTCGGCAATATGCAACGGCAGTCTCTGAAAGGCAGATGGAGAAGGCATTGGTTTGGTGTAAAACAAAAAGTTTGAATATAGAAAAGCCAAAGTGTAAGTATGTTTTTTTTAAAATCCAGAGCGGAAGCAAAAGAGAACAGAGTGAGCGAGGAATAAAATTGACAAGCGCAAAATGAATATGAACATGAAACTGCAGCCTGCATGAAAAAGACATTTTTGGTGAAAAAGTGTTGACAAGGAAATGTAGACAGCAAACAAACTGACATGGGAAACATGTCCACTGCTGATGCATTTCCCTGCATCAAATAGCCTAGCCAGATAGAATCTAGATCAATGATATATGAAAGCTGCTGTCCAGCATTGACAAAGTGGGTCACTTAGACAACATTCTATCAAAAGGACGATTGTTTACCAAATGGGGGGAGGGTACGATGATTCATATCATTCTGAAGTCAGATGTATACAACTCTTCAATTGCCACGACGCAAGCTTAAACCCTTTCTACTAATACACTAATGACTGTTTAATGATTCTGCAACAAATAAATCCAACATTTACAAAGTGTAAAGTCACCTAAGTTTAGTACAATGAAGCTTGGACGTTGTGCTAATGTGAATGAGATTGGAATATATAATGGCCATCGTGGCACTGTCACTTTTTGTCTCTTTCTCTTTTAGATTACATTTATTCTGCTCTTATTTTCTAACACATAATACACCGCAACAAAGCAAGCGCATAAAGGAATCAAAATAGCACCACACTGATACACAGAGATAGAATGTACGACGAGTTCAAGAAATTGATTGCCGCACAGTTGTCCGAGCTCTCTGGTGCGCCGGCTGAGATAATTACTTTAGCAATCGACCTGCCAAAGGCCACCACGTATGGCGACCTTGCTATTGCTGTGCCGCGCCTGCGTCTCAAAGGCAACCCTGTCCAGCTGGCCCAGTCGTATGCCGAGCAGTTCAAGACCAATGCTGATGTCACCGCAGTCGTCGCCACCGGCCCGTACCTCAATTTCCGTATCAACCGCACAGCCTTTACACACAAGGTGCTGACTGCTGTGCATGCAGCCGGCGACAAGTACGGGTGGACTGACACCGGCGCTGGCAAGCGTGTAATCATAGATTTTAGCTCTCCAAACATTGCAAAGCCATTCCACGCCGGACACCTGCGCAGCACTATCATCGGTAACTTTATCTACAAGCTGCACAAGGCCCATGGCTGGGACGCCATCTCCATGAACTACCTGGGCGACTGGGGCAAGCAGTACGGCCTGCTGGCCATCGGCTTTGCCCGCTTCGGCTCTGAGGAAGGTCTTGCAGCTGACCCCATTGCACACCTCTATGAGGTTTATGTCGCTGTCAATACTGCTGCTAAAAGTGATCCAAACATTGACAATGAAGCCTGTGCCTACTTCAAGAAAATGGAGGATGGCGACGAAGGCGCCCTTGCGCTGTGGCAGCGCTTTCGCGAACTCAGCATCGCAAAATATAGAGATACATATACACGCCTTGGCATCCACTTTGATGTATATTCGGGCGAGTCGCAGGTTGGAGAGGGAATGGAAAGGGCAATGCAGATGCTTGAAGACGCTGACCTTCTGACAGAGAACAAGGGCGCCAAGGTCGTTGACCTGAAAAAATATGGTCTGCAAAAGGCTTCTGTTCAGACGAGTGAAGGATCCACACTGTATATGACCCGCGACATTGGTGCTGCAATTGAACGTTATGAAATGTACCAATTCGACAAAATGTACTATGTAGTGTCAACAGAGCAGAATCGCCACTTTAAGCAGCTGTTCAAGACAATTGAGCTACTTGGGTTGCCATATGCAGACCGCTTACAGCATGTCAACTTTGGCCTTGTCGAGGGCATGAGTACACGCAATGGCACAGCTGTTTTTCTCGATGATATGCTTCAAGAGAGCAAGAATAGGATGCACCATGTGATGCGCAAGAACGACGCAAAGTACAGACAAGTTGATGACCCTGAGCATGTTGCTGATGTACTTGGAATGTCTGCCATTATAGTTCAAGACATGTCTGCCAAGCGCATCAATGAATATGATTTTTCATGGGATCGCATCCTCAACTTTAAGGGCGACACTGGTCCCTACCTGCAGTATACTCATGCACGCCTGTATTCTCTGGAGCGCAACTGCGGTCCTGTAAATCTTGACGCCGACGCCTCCCTGCTGACCGAGGAGTCTGCACGCAAGGTCGTCACACTTTTATCGCACTACCCTGCTATTCTTGCCACTGCCATGCAGACCCTGGAACCCTGCACCATCATCCAGTACATGCTGAAGCTCAGCCATGCTGTCTCTGCTGCCTGGGAGACCATGCTGGTTCGCAACCAGCCCAAGGACCTTGCTGATGTCCGCCTGCTGATGTATTCCAGTGCCCGCATTGTGCTTGCCAATGCCCTAACATTGCTTGGCTTGGAGCCCATCCAGCGCATGTAGATATTTCAGGGTTTTTAGCAAAGTAACTGAATTTGTATAATTACATATAGTAATTAACTCGAGTTATTTGGAAAATTACAGAGAAACAACTAGCAGATACATTGTTGTAGCAGAGGCAGAATAAAATAAATATATGAACGGATATGTTATAATATTCGATTACATTACAAGTAGTTAACATTGTACATTGACTGCAACTATTGTCGCTATTAGACACAATTGCACAGTGTCTTGCGATTTTAGGGTATCTCGTCCTAATAAATGTATGACATTTGTTTCTACTGTTATTTCCATTGAAGGCAACGCACAGCAGCGGCATTCACGTTGTGTACCCTATCTCTACACTCCCTTCTTTCTTCATTCTTCTCTCTACTCATATCTTCTTATATTCCACGTATCATTTTTACCAACTAGACTATTGCTCTTGCCATTTGCTTAATGTATAAACAACGAACAGTGGCTAACACGAAACACGAACGCGCTTTTTTTTAGCACAACAACTTTGCACGATTATATGAAGTAATAAACTCGAACCTCATAGGGAAGTTGGAAGCAGTTTGCATGAGAAAATTACTGGGCCATTACGGCTCCTCATCCGGAAGAATTAGAGTCATCGTAGCAGCAGGACATTGGCCGGTGGTGTCGGACAGCCTGTCGTCCGGGGAAATGAAGTACTGGAGTCGGCGATCGAGAGCATATGTGTCACGGAAAATGATGGAACCGTTGAGCTTGTCCCCGCCTGGATCGAAGTGGAACCACCGGTTGGACACCTGTAACCAGCGTGTTCGAAATCCGTCGACTGATTTAAGCTGTGCGCAGAAGTACTGGAAGTCATGGAAAATGCAGAACACTACGGCGGCCTTCCACTGCATGAACATTGCATCACCTGTGTGTCGGATGTTGTCGATAGAGAGCTCTGCATGCGATCGGTAGATTTCCCAGACCGCAAGGGCATGTAGAGTGTCAGCATTTGGAATTTTCCTGGATTGTTTACCAAAGCCGTTGACGACTGATTCAAGCTGCACAGAAAAGACGTCTCCGGTCTGATTTGGTTGGATGCTGTGCAGGAAAAAAACACAAATGCGCTACTTTGTTTTATAAAGAGGCTCACTAGTTTAATATTTTATCATATTTCCCGATAACCAAAAAGGAAATTTAGACCAAAATGGTAGTCAGTATGGCCGAGTGGTTAAGGCGATAGACTTGAAATCTATTGGGCGTTGCCCGCGCAGGTTCAAATCCTGCTGCTGACGTTTGTTTTGCAGCTTATTTTTATTTTCTAGTTGGAACTTTTGTTACTATCACTTTCGTCGTCGTCATCGTCAAGTGGGCTAATCCGCGGCGGCAGCGCCCCTGCGTCCTCCAGCGTTATTCTTTTTGTCAGCAGCGGTAGGGTGATGTAGCACACGAAATTGTCCCTTAGAAGCGAGTCCACAAACTCGTCCATGTGCGTCAGCTCAAACGGCCCATCCGACGTGCGCACTCGCAGCTTGCGGTAGTCGCTATATAGCGGCTCTAGTCTGCTGTATATATCTTTTGGAGGCTGTGTGAGGCGAAAGTAGAGCGCAGCAAGTGCCCGCAGGTACTTGAAGTCGGTCTGGTCCAGCAGCGCATCGATCATTTGGCGGTCTGGCTGCAGCTGCAGCGTCTTTAGCATCAGGCACATAAACTCTGTTGGCTTGCGGTTCGCGCCATAACAGCCACCAATGCTTTTGAGGCTAACCGCCTTTTCCATGACGCCTGTTACAGTCAGGCCAAAGCAGTGCTCCTTCCAGTAGAGCGAGTCATAGATCCGCTGGCGGTACGCCTTCTCGATCAGATACTGCGGGTTTGTTCCGTGGACGGACTGAGCCGTAGCAACTGTGCGATTTGCCATTCTTTAATGAAGAGAAAATAATCGATACATAGAATACTATATGGATTAGAATGGAAAACAGCAATGTATATGTAAGAAGGTGGTTTGTTATTCCCCATCTCGAACCGAGTGGTGGGTGCTTACTGGTAACCTCCGCCTTTATGGTTTGAGTCACCACTATTTTGCTCAGACATGACAATGCCGGCAGTGCCGTGCTTGCGGTGGATGTTCTCCAGCGCTGCGCCCTGGTCGTGAACAGTGCTGCTTGTAGCCAGCTCCATTCGCTTGCGCTCGCGCTCGCGCTTCAGCATGAGCTTGTCGATTTTGTTCTTGCCGCTGTAATGGCCGTGGAATGCGTGGGACAGCTGCTTGTAGGCCTCCTTTGTTGTCAGCTGGCGGCCAGTATCGTCGTGGTACTCGAGCTTGACATCAGGCTTGTAGTCCTTCATTTTCTCCTCGTACTCGCGTGCCCACCTGCGGTCCAGAATCTCCTGCTCGCGCGCCTTCAGCTCTTCGATCTCCTGCTGCGTCATCGGATCCGCTTTACCGCGACGCTTCGATCCACCACCATTATCACGGCTACCAGCGGGAGAAGAAGCAGCATTCTCAGAGGCGTTGGTCAAGTCGCGACCAAGCTGCTTGATGCGCTGGCGTTCTTGCTGAAGCTGCTTCTCCTTCCTGCGCTGCTCGGCTATCCACACAGTGCGATTTCTTTGAAGCCGTTCGCGATCCTTTTGGTCCTTGCTGATGGTATCGAGCATGTTGCGCTGGCGGAGAAGATTAAGCGTGGCAGCTAATCCTGAGCCGACCGAGGGCTCTGCCTCAAACTCTGCATCCTCAGCAATTCCCCGCAGAGTTTGATTCGATTCATTGGGTTTCTCCGACTGGACAGGAGATTCCTTGTCGATATCTGCTTCTGGAAGCTCCACGCCAGACGATAAATACGCAGTCATCATCGTCTTCTCCTCAACCGGTTGGCGATTCTTGCGGCTATCAGCCATTAGCGACTGGCGCATGTTATTCGCTGACGCTCTGACATTCTGCACAAACTCTATAGTGCTAGACAGGACCAACCCACTGACTGAAGAACCCTCCTCGTCATCCAGCTCCATAGCAGCAGAATCCTTGATGATATCGGGTCGTGTTGTTGCCTGAGATAGAATGTCATCCGATATCGACTGATTCTTGCGCGCCGACGCCTTTCGCACCCGTGCAATCGCGCGCTGCAGGTCGTCATCATCATCCACAAAGCTAGAATCGTCAATCTGCGTCTGGCGGGTCATCAGCAAGTTGGCCCGCTCGCTGTCAATCAGATCGTTGACAATGGTCTGTTTTTCGTGTCTCTTTGTGTTGCGCTTTCTGTCTGCCGACCCAGACTTTTTAGACTTTTTGGGCTTGCGAAACAACGATGCAGCTTCCTCCTGCGTGTAAAAGTCGCTTATCTGGCGTGCAGGGCCAGAATCAAGGGATTCTCCGCCGACATGCTCCTCCATCTCATTCTCGTTCTCGTTCTCATTCTCTTCATCCTCATTCTCGTTGCCCTTTATTGACTGAAGGATGTTGTCGGTGTCGCCTTTGGCTTCAAGCTCCTCGATCGTATGGTCCTCCAGAGTCAGGACCTGCTCAGCGTCATCGTCGAGGTATGCAAGGCCGTTTGTGGGTCGCCGGCGTTTCTGAGGCATCGTATTAATCAGATAAGTTGAAAGTGACACTTTTCTTTGCAAAAATAGCAACTATCGGAATTGGTTGATTTTACGGATATTCCTTGGCGCCATCAGTCACTGTGCCAGTGAGAGTTTTGGGATCAGATCACAGGATCCGTGCGGAGCACAAAAGAAACAAGCACATGATCCAGCTCAATCAAGATGAAAATCTCTTCTTGAGCTGATGACGAAGGCTAAACAGACAGCTCTAAACGTTGCAAATTCCGCGTTTTTCTTCCTCTCAACTTATTATTTTCAACAATTTATTTTTTTGCAACACGAACAATCTTATTTCACCTTACGAAGAAAAGAAATACGCACAAGACTTTGAATCATGGACGAGCAGTTCAGACAGTGGAGAATGAAGGCAATCGTCGAGCGCGCAGCAGCATACAGCTCAGGCAGCCTGGACTCGCGCGCGTTAGCACAACTCGAGGAGCAGCTGACGTACACAGAGTTCAAGGCGGCAGTGATGCAGGGCGACGACGGAGGACGACTGCTAGAGTACGTCAACAGCAACGTTATATTCCAGGCGGGAGTTGATTTTGAGAGCAAGCCAATGGTGGTGTTCTGCGCATGCAAGCTGCCTAGCGCACAGGACGTGGACTATGATCGGATGCTGAATCTGATAATATTCCGGCTGGATGAGTTTGTGGAGAACGACTACACGGTAGTTCTGTTCACAAGCGGAGCCAAGCACAGTCCTGGATGGCAGTGGATGAGCAAGGCGTACCGCAGACTGGACCGCAAATACAGGAAGAACGTCAAGAGCCTGTATGTGGTTCATCCTTCGATGTGGTCAAAGGTGTTGTTCCAGGTGCTGGGACGCATAGTCAGGTAAGTAGACTGATTGGATCATTGCATGGATCAAGGCACGGAGAAAAAATGGCCCATATGAGTGTTTGCTTTAAATTCTGGGCGGGGTGGCGTCAGCCACGGTTTTCATGCATATGCCAAGGGGGAAGGAGAGAAGAGAGGAGCAGCAGCCCATCCCATCATCATATAAGCCTCGTATTATCTACTGTTTTGGTAAACGTCCGTTGTGGTTGCGTTCGTTGGTCGTGAAGAGAAAGGATCATCCGTCGTCCCTCTTTCACTTTTTCTCTCCCTCCTTTCACACCTCTATATTATTTTTCTTTCTCCGACGCAAGGGAAAAAGCGGATGCCAGCAACGGGTGTATTTGCGATTGCATTAACTAATATTCCAACTGGGGATCACTCGCGCGCTCATTCACTCACTCACTCACCCATTCACTCATATTTTATTCGTTCTGACAACTCGTATCACATACACAACTGGGTATAATAATGGCAACGGGGATAACGTCGTTTCTGCATCGGATTGGACGGCGGTCGTTGTCGTTTGATGAGAGACCGTCTTCATCGCCA